TCAAGTGGCAAGCTTATCTGCAGTGCAGGGAGGTGTGTGTATGAAGTCCCAAACTTGCAGCTAGCTGGTACTCATTTGACCTAGCTTGGATGGCTGATGAGAACCCGATCAGATGAAGATAAAGATGCTTGATACTAGGAGCAAGTGTCAATTGCCAGAGTTTGTTGGACTGGACGACTTTAGCTATGGCTGTAACTTCTCAGAATTTCAACCGGAATGAAAGATTCTTCAGATCAAGGACATGTTTGTCTAACCTAGTGTACTGAGTTTATTGTTGTTGCTAAGTGCCTTTGAGTCAGTTCTGAGTCACAGCGACCCGTATGGGGTTTCCAAAGAGCGGCTGAGGATGTATAACTATAAGGAAGGAATAATTTTCTTTCACTTCAGAAGAGATGATCCCAGGACTATTATTAAGGAAGAGCATGAGAGGAACTTGGGATCCCTGCCTGGAAAAGTGGCGACAGCAGAAACGGTAGGAGGTGCTGGCATGGAAAGAGAGCAACTGTGGACTTGAGACCCATGGACTGAGTAAAACTTTCTACCTGTAGGCAGGAGGCTGGCTGGCAGAATGTGCCCTTTGTACTTTTGAATCAATATATTTTTTTGTGTTCTGTTTTCCATGTGTGCATCATATACTTTTGTTTGTTGATTTGTGACATTTAAGATGTAAAGGACTCCTGGTGTGGTTCTGTGGGCTAATGCGTGAGACTGCAAAGTCGTTTGAACTACAAGGTTGGTGGTTCAAGCTTACCAGCTTCTCCTTGGAAACCCTATACAGGGTCGCTATGGTCGGAACCGACTCGACGGCACTTAAGAACAACAAGATGTAAATAGGGCCAATGTGTTTTCGGTTGTATGTATTTTAGTTATGTCATTAAGGATTTCCTGAGGTTTAACAGTTTGTTTCTGCTTATTCCTGTGGTGATGAATCCTAATACAGGCATATTTAGTTCTATGATGAATGGCTATGAGCAGCCAATCAACTGAAGGGATACTTCCTTTGGGGTATGGCCTGCTCCAATGAACACATGAAGGAGGGGCTGTCTCTCTCTCTTCAGCAGTGGACCTGGGACTCCACAATTGTAAAATTATCAATTTCTCTTTATGTGTATATGTGTGTGTGTGTGTGTGTATAAACTAAAAGCATTATTATTGAGTGCCACTGACTCTGTATAGGGTTTCCAAGGAGCAGCTGGTGAGCTTGAACTGCCAAACCTTCCAGTTTAAACCAACCTTGCAGTCCAGCGCATTAACCACCAGGACTCCCAAAACTAACAGTATGGTTTTATAATTAAAATAGTCAAACCAGATACAGCCACTCTGCTGCTGACCATGAAGCAAGTATAGGCTCCAACCTCCCACCACTAAAAAACAAAACAAAAACTAGAAAACTGGACAAGATACACAAAATGGCTGTTTCCAGACACTGGACCACAGGCCACACATGACTGTAATTACTGAGGAAAGAGAAAACGAGGTGAGCTCCACAATTACCCCAGGTTTCTGCCTGAATGCAATTTCAAATCACACGTACAGGGAGGATGAACCCAAGCAGAGCTGATTAAGCTAAACTAATAAAGATCAAAGTTCCAAAAGGATAAAATTATGGGCAGAAAACGAATATAGTAACCCATAACCAGGAGAAAAGTTAGTCATGCAAACAAAGCACAAAAATAGCAAAAATGAAAAAAACAAATGTGTTAAAATAGCTATTATAATTATTCTATATACTTGAAAGAGAAAACTGGAAGGTATTATAAAGAACTAAATGGGGAGTTCTATTTCTGCTTAGAAAACAAAAGCACAAAAAAATGTGGCTGTGACCCTAAAATAAGAAAAAACATGTCACTACAAAATCAGAAAGCTGAAGTTACTGGGAAACAAGTGAGTTAAATTCCAAAGGGTAAAAAAACTCAACCTAGAGAGTGAAACAAGATGG